AACAAAACATTAATAAAATGACTCTTCAAAATCAAATTGATGAAAATGATTAACAAAATATTAATGAAGAAATATTTTTTAAATGTAAATCTACATTGTTTCGAGTCAAGTATGAATCATTCAAAAATCAAGAACAAAGTATTCGATTTTTACAGGGTTTGATTGTTCCTCCTAACTCAACATGTATGCGTCCGTCCCTGTACGGAGGCATATTATGGGATAAATTTCATATCGAATAAGGATGAAATATAGATCAACATAAAGGATTTGAACTACTCCTCTTAATAAAATCGATCTTTTAATACAAAACCCCAAATCTTAATAAAAGATTGGTCTAGACCTTTTGCATCCTTGTTCGTAGCCTTCTTTACGAAGTCCTAGGGCCGAGCCCCACACTTTTCGATGGTAGCATCAATGATGATTATGTTATATAACACATGTTTGGTTCAACTTAAGAAGTAGATTAAAATGTAAGTTAAAATCAATATTTTATTTTAAGCACACATTTTATGAAATTCACAATTTTTCAACTGTATATTTCATCAATTTTATCAAAGTCTATTTATTTTTATTTATCTAAACTAAATGCAGACATTATAGACTGCTATATTAATGTGATATAATAATCATTACAAAACTCAATCTACATGATCACTGCCCAACGGCCAAGCCCAACACTTTCAAATAGCCATGTCAACGAGACGAACCACGAGTCGAAACTCGAAGCTCGGACTCGGTTCAAGCAAAAAATGTTCGAGCTTTTTTTTGCTGCTCGGCTAAAAAATTGAGGCTCAACCCGGACTTTCAGCTCAAGCCATGTAGGCAGCTACTTCTATTTTTTTTTTCTTCTTCCTACAGCTGTCTGCAACGTTTCAAGTAGCTCTTTTCAACTTCTTTTTTTTAAGGCTCGAGCCACATGGGCTGGCTTAGGCTCGAGCCTTTGCCCCCAAAATGGGGCTCGGTGGTTCTGAGCCACAAGCCAGCTCGGCTCGGCTCGAGCTTTCCCCGGCAGAGCCATGGGTAGCTCAAGCCAACAAGCTATTTTGTCATCTCTACTTTCAGACGGTAGGGTCTGGACCGGACAATTTATGTGAAGGGCTTCCTCTTTCTGCCCAAGTCTTTTGACATGCAAATCACATGTCACAAAGCCTTTGATATGGATAGAATTTGGGCATTCAAATGTACATGCAATTCAGCATATTAGATTTGATCTCAGTGTTTAGCCAATTCAGGAAATGATTTTGATATGATAAAAAGTGAATTTGATATGATATTTACATTTAACCCCGATTTGGGCTCCACCTTAAGTATTTAAGGAAAGATTGGTTCTTAAGGTTTAGATTTTCTTTCGTCTAAATTACAAAATGAATTTAGGATGAATTCTATTTCCCAAATGGAGATAAGGATGAGGAAATTGCAAGTGCAAAATGTTGTTACCTTCAAAGTTATTTCATACGATTAGCTTAGAGAAATTTGGGATAATGTAAAGGTTTTTGAAGGGAAAAGAGTCTTCTTTTTGAGTATATTTCTAATATTATAAATAATAATAAGTGCTGAAATTGCATGCTTGTGCATTATGTTATTTTAGTCCAGAATTTTCAGTAGTTTATTTCATTCACTGTGATGTCAAAATTTGATCTTGTCTGAAAAAATACGAACAAAGCTTTCTTGTACATAAAACAAAAGCATCGAAATATGATCTTATCTGAAAAATTCGGGTGTCGCACTGGATACCATTTAATAGTTCACGGATTACCAATTTAACGACTTTTAAATTATTGAATGATTGTTACTTATCCGTTTTTAGTTTTGACCCTACAAGCGGAATTAATCAATCAAAAGCAACAAGTCATTTTTAATTATTTCTAGTTAATTAAGCATACAATTCCAGTTATCCTATATTTGAATACCGCAGTAATATGAAAAGCAATAAATAACACAATATTGATGACGGAGAAATCCAACTGGATGAAAACTCCGAGACCAAGCCGTCACCTCCACTATAGACAATACTGAGTAAGTTATAGTTAGATGATAACTAACTAACTCCACTAGACTTCTCGATCTATTTCCTGCTAATTCCAAGGTCTGCTCCAAGATCTGTTCCAAGATCTTCTGCAATTGTCTTTTCCAAGTGGAATTTCAAGAACCTATTCCAAGACCTTGTGCTTTTTTGCGCTTGTAGTCCAATATCTCTCAACCTCCAGCAGCCTCTGCAGTACAATTGAGAAAGTACCTTCCTATGACAAATAGGAAGTAGGTGGTGCTTCGGATTCAATGTGTTTGATATTTTTCCCAAATATATAGTTGTATAAAATAAAGAGTGAAAGGATGAAATCAATGCATGAATAAACTCTTGTATATGTTATAGAGAAGAGGCACAATGAACAACTACCCACGATTCGTGCATAGGCTTAGGTATTTATAGGAGAGAGTAATTAGGTTGAATGGGTCGGAAAAAATACTTCAAAACAGCAAAATATGATTTTCCGGATCGACCTGTCGCTTGAGCGAGAGCTCGGCGACAAGCGGGCGACAGACATTCTGCTTTTGTCGCTCGAGCACCAATTGGGCAAGAAGCTAGCAAAAATATGGCGTCGTGTTTCTCCTCTTTTAATGCTCGAACCCTAGATCTCATAACCCAATTTATACAAATTGCACCCTAGGTCCTTAAATTTTACAACACGTTACAAATTAGTCATTTTGTCCATAAAATTGCCAACACCAAAAACCTAACATTATCGTTCCTCCAATATTTAACTAAACAAACACACAGAGAAAAAAATACAATTATTGATGAGACAGAACAATGTAAGGAGTACTTGAATAATGAATTCTTATGAACATCCTGTTCGAAAATCATTATTTGAGATTCCTACAATACAAACCTAAGATCACCGGGTATAGATTATATAAGGTCAAGGATGAGGTGTCACCTACGCCAGGGGCTTAATCTAGACCTCGAACTCATGACCTCAAGGTGAGGTGACATCTTTGGTGGGAAGACCGTAGTGATGTCAACGAACCGAACTGAAAAAAAAAAAGCTTGAGCCGAGTCCGTCCAAAAAAAAATGAGACTGGGCCCGAGCCTTAGCGGGCCGAGCCGGCTCGATTTTTTTTATTTTTTTCCCTAGCTACCTTCCAAATTTTATTTTTTTCTATAGGAGGCTCGCCCGGGCCACGGGCCGGCTCGGGCTTGAGCCGACTCCCCAAAGTGGGGCTTGGCCCGAGCCTGGGCTCGATTCCACCGAGCTCGAGCAGTCCCAGCCTCCGAGCTTTTTTGCCACCGCTAGAAGACCGTGATGAAGTCTCCAGTTTATTAAGTTGGTGAGGTTAAAGACTCTCTAGTCACGAGATATTGACCATGATAAGTACTTTTTAAATCGTTATTAGCATGATTCATATTGAAAAATTGAATTTTGATCCACTAAAATGCTAAAAAATGCATTTTCAAAAATAAAACAAAACTCGTTCAACTAGGAACAATGATATATCATCAGGGTTGAATGAGTTTCTCAATATCCCTTTTTTTTTAGAAAAGAAAAGAAAATAGATTATAAGAGAGATGTAGATTAAAATCGATATGATTTTTATAGAGAATAGTTTACGTAATTGCCTATAAAGTATAATTAATATTCACTTGTTTGGATATCGTTATAACCCCCTATAATTCGAGATCAAAGTCAAATATTAGTTTTAACTACACATTTAACAATTCGTACTCACTTATTATCCACACACGAACTCTTCATTATAATCTTCTTATAATTTTCTCCAAACAAGTCTTAAAATGAGCTTTGATACAAAACATTGACGGTTCATATTGTTTGACATATTTCCTTTTGAAAAATAAATTTCGGTCACAAAAGAACGTATTTGCATCGTATAGATTTTTGGTCCCTGGACAAGATATTGGATATCTACGAAGAGGCCAATAACTTTATGATCGTCTTGCCACGCGTGACCATGTAGTGACGTGTCATGTTCAGAGTGGTATAGCATTTGTGCTGCTGACACGGCTTCCACAGTCAAGGGGCATTTCTGTCAATTCATTTGTTGTCGCAGTCTTGGTAACAATCGTGTTAATATTGGTCTTTGTGAAGTACTATATTTCCTCCAAATTGTGTTGTTTCTTTGCGTGTACAAATGTCTAAAATATCATCTCGTTAGGACATCACCAGCACTCATTTGACTTATTTCTTATTTTCGTATAGTTTGTTTTGACACGATGACTCCTCTATTTCAACGAACTTCATCGTCGACTTTCCATTTATTATACACGTCCATTTATAGCCAAACACGATGGCATGCAATATAACAAGTTTAGTCATCGTTTCCTAAAATTTACATTTTAACATTATAGATATCTATGTTACACATAATTCTAATAACACTTTAATATCGTATCCAATCCACTTTTTATCTTCCACTTACATCATTGTTAACAAAACTTTACACTAAGACTCTGTTTGATTGATGCTATTTTCCTTAGAACTTGAAAAATGAATTTCATTTTCTTGGTTTTTGGCTTGTTTGATTGCCACAATTTCATAACTAGTGGGAAAAGTTTTTCTAGGTGCTGCTGCTATTTTTTTTTCTTGCAATAAAAACAAATTCCATAACTAGCTTTAAAAAAAAATTCACTTTAATGGACAATTTTTATGTAAAACAAAGTCAAACGAATACTAAACTTTGATAAATGATTTTTTTTTTTTAATGGAAACAAATTTTATAATCAATTATGGAAAAAATTATCGTTTTAATAGACAATTTTCATGTAAAACAAAGTCAAACGAAGATAACATTTAAAAATTTTTCGAGTGAAAAATTATACCAATCAAATACACTAATTAACAATTTTTAGGCAATTACTTTATTTGAAATTTATTTTCATTCCACCCATTTTTCATCATTTCAATCAAACGAACCCTAGATATTGATGGAGATCCACGTTCTAATGGACTGAATTCAAAAAGCTTTCTTATCAGAGTGGATACAACTTTAGTAATGTTATTCATCATTCGTAGAAATCATACCGATTAAAAATAAAAATAAGTCCTCTGATTCATTATTCAGCTCTTGTTTGAGTTCCATTTTTTTATCAAAATGTATTTTTGAACAATAATTTAGTTCATTTCAAACACACATCTTTTAATAAAATAATATTACACGTAAATTTAAAAAATTTCTAATTTTTTAACTTTACATTCTTCATCATGACACTATTATAAAATGTATTTTTTGAGAAAAAAAAAAAAGAGGCTCAAACAACCCTTCAATGTACTATAGTGCACGATAATTTTATTGAACAATGAACAAAAAAAATCCACTCTCATTTAAGTCGATGAGTATCTTTACTCAAAATTTCACACCGTCTCATATGTCCTTTCTATCGAATTCTATGCCGTCTAGAACTTTCCTCTTCAATTATCGCTGGCCAGTTTCGCTTACAATAAGCATAAAGTTGCTCTTTAAATTGCTTCCTCATCCCTTCTAACACCTCTTAACAGTAACACACACACACTCACACACTCTCTCTCTCCCTCCCTGAGTGAGATGGAAAAAGAACCGGGTAGCAACGGGTCGGAACCTCTGCAATACAAGGTAAATAAACACAGACAACCTTATTTACTGCTGCACGCCTGCACCACCCTTCTGCTTTTCACTTTCAGTTACGTATTAACTCTTACTTCATTTGTGGATGTATCTATGTTCTGTTGTTCAAAATTTACATAGATATGGGTATTGAAAGTCTCTATCCACTGCGAAGGTTGCAAGAAGAAAGTCAAGAAAGTCCTTCAAAGTATCGAAGGTAATTTCATATCAAAAAAATATATATAACGAATTTTATAGCATTTATGACATCGTCTGTGAGTTGGTGATTCATTATTTTTTTATTTATGTATTTTTTTTAATCAGGTGTATATCAGATAGAGATTGACTCTAAACAGCATAAAGTTACAGTGATAGGGAATGTGGATGGGGATACATTGGTAAAAAAACTGGTTAAGACAGGTAAAAATGCTGAACTTTGGCCTGAAAATTCTGAGAAAAAATCCGGGAAGTCGAAGAAAAAGAAGAAGAAGAAGAAAGACTCAAACGATAAAGATGATGAAAATTCTACAGATGATGAAAAAATAGATGAGGAAATCGGAAATCCGAAAACAGATGATAATGCTACGGCACCCGGGGAGGTGGAGGAAGAAGACGGTGAACAGGAAGTGGTGGCTCAGCCGAGTAGTGGTGGCGGAGGAAAAAAGAAGAAGAAAAAGAAGAAGAAGGGTAAAACGGGTAACACAGGTGAAGGTAATGGTGAGGGTGCAGGTGGTGTACCTGTATCAGCAAGCAATGAATCTTTTCCACCCTCAAAAACCATGGGCCCACCTGTTTATAAAGTGAATTACAGCCCTCCACGTCATGGTATTCCTCCATATCCACAGTCTTACTATGCCGTTCCAGAATATGGGTTGAATTACAGTACAGCGCCTCCACCTAGTACTGGTAGTGCTTCAGGTTATGCTTATGCACAGCCCATGTATTCTTATATGCACTCGCGCCCATATGATTATTATCCGCCTCCTCCACCGTCTGATCCCGTTGATGATCGTGGTGATTATTATGATGAAGATGCAAGTGGATGCTCAATCATGTAACACAATGTTTTCCATGGCCAGAGTGTTGTATGTTTAATGTTAAGTTAGTCGTGTAAGATATCGTGTAAGATAAGACTAAACAATAATATGAATGTTTTTTGTATGTATCATAGACTAAACAAGAACCAATGAACCATGCTATTCGAACATATGGGATGATATAAAGGATGATCGAACACATACATCTTAGGGGTCGAGCATTATTTTATTCACGTGGGGATCCACGCGCAATGTTAGGGTCGATTACTCGAGGTGTCAACCATTTTCGAGTAAAGTGGTTTTACTCGTGAAGTAGATAGGTGATAATGTAAGGTGGGTATGATACATTTTTGGTGTAATTTTGGGTGAATAAAAACTTGTTAGTGGAAGTTTTTCAATATATTACTACTCAATAATCATATCTTGAAGATGAATGTGGCAAGTTTAAAGAGCAGTTTGGTATGTTTAATGTTAAGTTAGTCGTGTAAGATATCGTGTAAGATAAGACTAAACAATAATATGAATGTGTTTTGTATGTATCATAGACTAAACAAGAACCAATGAACCATGCTATTCGAACATATGGGATGATATAAAGGATGATCGAACACATACATCTTAGGGGTCGAGCATTATTTTATTCACGTGGGGATCCACGCGCAATGTTAGGGTCGATTACTCGAGGTGTCAACCATTTTCGAGTAAAGTGGTTTTACTCGTGAAGTAGATAGGTGATAATGTAAGGTGGGTATGATACATTTTTGGTGTAATTTTGGGTGAATAAAAACTTGTTAGTGGAAGTTTTTCAATATATTACTACTCAATAATCATATCTTGAAGATGAATGTGGCAAGTTTAAAGAGCAGTTTGGTAGTTTACAAGGCTCATAATCTTGAGGTCAGAGAGTCGATTAATCCACTTTGTTTTCGGTTGTGCCAATCGATATTTTTTGTGCGATTCGCTTGTGTCAGCAATCTTTGATGATTATTTTTATATTTGCCTAGTTTTGGATTGTATTTATTTCTCTGTATATGAATAACAATGAGAACGTTTTTGTTAGTTATTATAAATTCTACGTTTGTAGTGCGACTTCCAATGATAACATGAACCGTATAAATTTTTAGGTTGACATAATGTGAGTGGAGTGGAGCCACGTCACTGTAGCATGGACCCCACTCCACTCGCATTATGGCATCCCCTATGTGTACACCTATGTACACATAGAATAGGCCAATTTTTAGAGTGGATGAGCTGTAATTTACGGGATTTTGTACAATTTTATTCTAAGAAAAAGAAAGTGTGGAATTTTCAAGTTTATGTAGAGAATGTGCCATTGGATATAAAGAATCGACCAAACAAAAGATTTTAACAAAAATTAATATTCCAAAGGGATTGGGCATGAAACACTAGCAAAGTCACAAGTGGACGTCCTAAAGTAAAATAATTCGAATATTTTACTTTTGTTCTTTTTGCTTGGAGGAAAAGGTACATTATGCTTTCACAAATCTATTTATCTTGCTTTAAAATAATTTTAAATTAATGTCGATTTTTTTTTTTTTAACGTATTTAAGATAGGAGTTATTGAGAATTGAAAATCAACCTTAAAAAGTCAACTTTATCATACAAAATTAGCTTTACTATGATAAGTAGCCCAAGTTTTTACATATTATCACTTGGATATATAAGCATGGTAGGATTTGCCCTTAATGAGAACGTCTAGTTAATAGCTTACTTCCCCTCCTGGGACGGATCGAAGACTGGACAAAAAAAAATTACACATAAAAATTTTGATTTTACAAAAAATAAATAAATAATTAACACCTAAAATACTAAATGGGCTGGGAATGGACAGGGCTTCTCTACGTGTAATATTATTTTATTGGAGAACGTGTGATTGATAATAAGAAAAAGAAAAATGAATTATAATTTAATGGAGGTCAAACGAGGTCTAAATTAGTTCTCCAACTTACTCAATGATGTTGTTCCATATAAGTTATTAAGTCACAGTTCAAAATATTCAAGTCGTGCAATAATTTTTCCTCGAAAGTGAACTCAAAAAATGAGAAAATCTTGACAAGGTTGTGATTAAACAAATCTTAACCATAATTCCACCACCCCTAATTCAAGAAAGATCCTCTAGAGTCTAGATCTTTCTCAAACAAATTAATGTTTCCACATGTAAGCTCATGAATGAAACAAGAAATGCAACAAATGAGCATACAAACGTTTTTCAACCCAAAGTGGATGTCCACTTTTGTACACTTATACCACAAAAGCAAAAGACATCTAAAATGGAGATTGAACCAACAAAAATGCTTGCTTTTAATTCCAAAAGGAAAATCATTTCCATTTATTGCATTTGCTTTCTCTTGAATCGAATTTTCATAAACAAAAATCTCCTTTACACATAAGAGAGAAGTTAAAAAGAAATTTATAGGTCCTACATCACCATAAAAATATTAACACTTGGACGTGATTAGTTTTTAACTCGAGACACAATTGTACTACACATCAGCAAGCAACACTCGACCAAGAAATTAGAACGAATAAGATTATAGATTTTTGTTATTGCTTTTCACAATGGTTAATTAATTATCACCTTTTTGGGGGCCATCTTGTGAAGAATAATCGATAGAATCCAGGAAAAAAAGGTCCCTACTCATCTTTTGCAAAGTGTACATAGCCCATGCCACCATTACCCTTTAATTCTAGATCGTGTGTTAGACGTACCTATATTGAGTTATTCTACCGGATTATGCTAAATGTACATAATCTTTTATACCCCTCTTACATGGAGGGGGCACACAGACAATAAAATATTCGTGGGTCCCCCTCCATGTGAGAGTGGTGTAAAGGATTGTGTAAACCATGGAGTGTACATGTAACACAATCCTATTCTACCATACTTGAAAAATATTCCATTTAATATAACAAATTTTATTGTAGAAACAACAGTTTTCATAAAGTGAAATGAATCGGGACGTGTTTAAGTGTATATTTCATATCGATCATGATAGTTGTACAACCGAAATTGGCAATCTCGATTGACAATCACTCACATGGGGGGTCCGCTTTTTTTTTTTGAATTGTTTAAACATGCGGACCCCGCACACATGTGAGAGGTTGTCAACCCAGATTGTCAACCTCGATTGTACAAATAGCATTTTCCATTTCATATAGAAATAAAACGTCAGTAAAGTAGGGACGAATTCAGGAGTTGACTTAGAGTATATCCCATATTAATGCAGTCAAAAAGATTTTTTCATCAACCCCATACTCCACCCTTGCTATAAAGAGAATCTTAATCCAAGCAACCGCCATCTTATATTTTAAAAGTCATTTTATTTTAAATTTCTTTCGTATTTTTCGGCATTGAAGTATTATTTCGTCAATAAGTTTTTTTTTTTGTTTAATGATAAAAATGTATTTATGGTAGGGAAAGATTTATAAATACCTGTGATGAAAAAACAATTTCATTTTTTACTGTAACATGTATTAATATATTGATTTTACTACTTGCTAGTAAAAATAAACCGGAAATACTGATTGAGAGACTTTCCATATATTTGTCTGTAACTGCATACACACGCAGGGGGAGGGGGAGGGGGAGGGGGGGACGCCATTGAGTTATATGAATTAAGCTCCAAGTACAGGAGCAGATCTGCTCGGGGCCTTACAGGCCCCTCACTGTACCGAGGCCTCACCCATGAATAAAAAAAAATTATGGCCCCACCCCCAAAATGTGAGAGGCCTGGCAGTTCAGGCCCCTGTACCCGAAGCATGGTCCAAGTTATATATATATGGAATTAATAAGGGAAGTCTACATAAATCTTACTTTTACTTATGCACATTTCAAA